AAATGCGTACATATAACACATTGCTGCATTCGCACAGCATCTATCGATCGGATTTGTTTGGTCTCATTTTATTCAATCAAATCGAGTTGAGTTTTCACGCAATTGACAACCATAATCTCATCGATTCTCATGATGAAAGTCTCATGTGTAATCGTATTCAATACAACCAAAAGAAGCTCTGCTCTTCTGTGAATCAAATATGAGCAATATAGAGAATTTTTACTCCAATAATCTTTTCATTCATAAACAATATTTTCTTCAAATAAAAGCTACAATGGATTTTGAATGAAATATTGACACATTTCGTCTCTGAGGCGTGTCGCCGTCGTCGTTTGAATTGGACATGCTGGCTTCTTGTGCATCGGTGGCGTTTGATTCCACTCAATTTCAACTGAATCTCGAGCATCGACACAAATATTATGAAGAATGAAAGCCGCTTTTATGATCAACTTTATGTGATCTAAATCGAATTCTAATTTCTTGTGTAGTAAACGAAAGCGATTTTTCAAATGACCAAACGCTCTTTCGACTGTGCATCGACAATAACTGAGCCGATAGTTGAAAATGCTTTGGTTTTGTGGCATTGGGAGACGTTCAGGAAACGGCTTCATCAGATGTTGAGAGAGAGGAAACGCCGAATCACCAACCAGATGAGCTTGAATGTCGATTTGTCCAATTGTCAAACGATGCTGAGAATAAATAGGATTCCTAATGATCTCAGCTAAAGTTGATCGATTGTAAACGGAAGCGTCATTACATCTCCCAGGCGCTCCAACGTTGAGATACGTGAATTTTAAATTTGAATTTACCACCGCCAAGGCAATGACCGAATGAAACTTCTTGTAATTGAAGTAGTCAGTTTCTTCACCATACGGAGGTTGAATAGCAATATGTGTGCCATCAATTGATCCAAGGCACATTGGATATCCGAATTTCTGTAAAAATCCATCTGTTGTTTCTTTAATAGATTGATCATTAGCAGGGAATTGGATCAAACGGTGGAAAAATAAATCGACAATCACTTGTGTAAACTCGTGCAAAATATTGGCAGCAGTGGATCGACCAATACCGAACAGATGAGCAATCGTTCGCAATTCACCAGTCGATCCTAAGCAATAAAGAGCACATGCTACTCTTTTATCAGTTGGAATCGCCGAGCGCAGAAGAGTATCTTGTCGACGTAAGAATGGCTCCACTTGATCAAGAATTTGTTTGAATGTTGAACGTTGCACCCGAAAATTTTCCTTGAACTGTTTTTCAGTCATATTCGGGACGATCGAAGACCACCAATCGCTACTTTTCGGATAAGACCACATCGCCCGTGTGCTAACGTTATTCGATTGACTCATATAAATGATAAAATTATGAAGTAAGAGTTTACGGATCATTTTGAGACGATGAACTTTACGCTGAGCCACGCGATGTGCCGATTTCACCTGTTGTATTTGTCTATTCAATCGAATCTTTTTCATCATGAACACGATGAACATATGTATCGATAATTCAAGATGCATGACTGGAAGAAAGATCTAGAGGTAAACAGCGATTGTCGCCGCTATTCTTAATATAGATTTGAATCTTCGATGAACTTTGTGTAACAATGAAGTCTCACTCACATATTGGCCTTGGAATGAATCAGAAAGATAATAACGCATTTCAATGACCCAGCGATGTAATGAAAAAGAAATTGCGACGAGAATCAACAAAATAATACAGAATGAAAAAATAAGCAAAATAAAGGTAGAAAAATGGAATGGATGATTAACACACGAAGTACAAATCATAAAGATGCCTATTAAGAAGAAAACTGACGAGAAAAGCAACTGTTCATTCATTAGAGTTCATTTTGCTCGCCAACGAGCGAAACACTTGAAGAAATTCTTTTTCATTTTTCACGCTTTCTTCTTGTAAATTGGTTTGCCTCTCTAGAAGAGACAATGCCTTTGATTCAGCTTTGTTCACGGCTTCGTTGGCTTCGTCAATTTTGTTCAACATTTTTTCCATCAATTCCATTCTAAGTTTATAGAAAAGAACCCTATGCGAATAGAGAATGACAATGTTACTCACTTGACATCGGCAATTCTTTTCTTTCTTGACAAATGAGTTTTTTTGTTCATTTGTTCTGGTGCTTTTGATGTTGTACTTGCTGATGAACATTTGTTTGTCGCGATACTTGTGGATGAAGATGGTGCACACACAGAAGACTCTTCAGTCTCTTTCGTTGAGGCATCACATCGAACATTTTCGTCCACAATCAATTCTTCATTAGTGCCAATTGAGCAGAAAACATCATCAAGTTCAGATTCTTTTTCATCTGTTAGTGTAATGGAATCGGACAATAAACCATCATCGTTGTATGGCCGTGAACCTAGGCAGAAATTCGTTTGCAATAGATAAAGAGCTATCATCGAAGGAAAGACTGACCAATAATGTTATCAATTTGATCAAAAAAACGCCACGAACAAGGACTTCCACCGGATTTTCCTTGTTCTCTTTTCTTCCTTCGATATTCCGATAACAAATTAGTGATTTTCGTTTTGACGTCGTTTCCTGTAATCGATCGGGCAGACGGTAATTCTTTTTTAATTTCTTCTGCCATAGCATTGTAAATGGGAGTGTTTCGTGAGTCACCAGACATGAGTTGATTATAAAACTCACTCCATTTACTGATGAACACAGTTGTATCTCCATCAGTCCAATTTCTGGAACGTTTACTCTTTACATTACCTGAAAAAAAAAATGAACAATGAATAGCGGTTAATTATAGACTTTCACAGTTACCTGGACTGTGGTCATATTTTCGAGAATTTTTCGGAACATTTTTTTGGTCCGGTTTTCGATTCGTTTTTGAGATTGTCGGAGAAGACTTTTGCGTTACTGAGTTGGTTGAAACATTATGAATAACATTGCTACCTGAAAAAGAATTTTTATTTTCGAATGAAAAATGACTGAGAACTCATTGAGTGAAATAATAAGCCAAAAACTTTTAATGAAACATACCGAAATCGCAGCTAACATTCGAGAGAGCAGCAGATGTACTAGAT